AGTTTTATGTTTTATTGCTTTTTTTCTCCAAAACTTTGTCTCAAATTTGGTAAGAGTTTATCAGCTGAAAGAGACTGGTGGAAAGTATGAAAGCATTTTCCATTCTTTTATAATGGATCACCAGCCCAAGACTGTAGGAGAGTGAAAACTGTTAGTCTGGTTTTTTACAGTTCTAACCATTCTTTAAAGCTAAGTGAAATTTCAAATGGACTACTTTAAATATATCTTGCAGTTAATTTTAGTTCTCCTCTCTGATCTTTTTTAGCTTGTCCCTGTATGAAATACTCAGCTGTGGGAGAAATTCATGTCTGTTTCCCACATCTGTGTTCACAGATGGAGCTACTACAAAGACTCTTGCCGGAATTGAACAAGTAAACGGCTGGCCAAAATAAAGCACTAACTGCTCATTCCTGCACTAAGGTAAAGAGTTTTCAGTGAGTTCAGTCTTTGCCAAACTCATAGATTAACAGGATGTTCCTCAGAAACAACACTGATGTAATGGCTAACAAGGTTTTGCAATTGTTGCTGGTGACAGACAGTACATTTTGGGAATATTAAGGTCATTGGGAATACTAATCTCTTTATTGTGGCAGAGAGAATAATTCCTATGATAAACAGCGATCTAAATTTTTATCATTTGTGTTTTCTGAAGTCAGTTATAATTTTTTTTTTAAATATACTGTTTTCACAAACAATATTTTCCAATTAAATAGTACATGGGGAAAAATATCATTTGAAAATACATTTTTTTGAAAATAAGTGTCAATTAGCAGAACACAGAAATCACTTGTTGCTCTTTTTTAACTTCTTAGGGATCCCTGTACAGTATTTGGGAAAACTTTGGGGCCACAGAGCAATAAGACCCAGCAAAAAACAGCATTATGGGAAGGAAGCTATTTAAGGTAATAATGAAATTCTGCAGCTGTGAATTATCCTTTCTTTCCTCCTGAGGTTTTTGAGACTTCCTCTACCCTGGATTCATTACCTGAATTCCTCTCCTGGAATTATGTCCTTACACCTTCCCTTTCAAAAGCTGAGCAGTGAACACTGTCAGCAGCAGAAATTGATAGATGCAATTACGCCACCTCCCTTTTCATTAAAGCGCTGAACAGTTATGGCACTCAGCAGGGTGTTTTCCACTTCTTCCTCTAGGACTGTAGAACTACTCCTCCCACACACTAGTGACACACATCCCCCTGAGAAAGTACACTGAAGACTAGGTTAGAGGACATTCAGGAGATTTTGAGATTGCCCATCTGCTGAAGATTATCTGTAATATGGGAGACTGGATACACGTACACCCAACACAGCAAGCAGACTGAAAGAGCAAGAATGAATTTCATGCCTTGTGCACTGGATTTTCCAAATGCATGTTACAGGAACCAGTGCCCAAACACATACTAACATTCAGAGTCGCCTGCAGCAACTGTCAGACCAGGCTGCTGAAAGCAGACTTCTAAACATCCTGAAAAAAGTGCTGTGACTGATGCATGAAGGAGGACCCGCCAATTCTTTTCCTTTTTCCATTCTGTCCCTTGGTAATAAAACTTAACACTGCTCCATCTTGCAAAGATCTTAGCTTCATAGGAAAGCACTAAGAATGACTTCCTATCAGTCACCTTGTCAAGCACACACAAAGATGTATTCCCTTCCGATTTAGGTTCACTGAGGTGTCAGGCTCACTAGGCTGGAGCAGTCTGTCATGTTGTTGGGTGCATGTCCTATAGGGACAGACTAATAGGCACCCAGGGAAACTTAATGGCAAGCACTGACATGGCTTTGGAGTTTAGCTACTTCTGTGATTAGCACCACTGGAGTAGGAATTATCAGGACTGCAATTCTCCATTTAGGGAGCGTCATTCTACCTAAATGTAAATTAAATTCAGGTTTTGGTTCTAAACCTTCCCATCTAGCAGTGTCCACTAATACTAGTGGATTGAACACTTGGATAGGTTTCCTGATTAACTTTGGTAAGGTGGAATATAAATGCTTTCACACCATTTACATGTAAACCAGATATATTCAAAACAATATTCTTCAGCAATTTGCTGAAGGAAAGAAAACAATTTAAAAATTTAAAATCCAAAACTAAAGCATACAATAGCTGATTTATTTAGTATGCATCGTATCTCAGACAAAGTCTGCATGGCTCACAGGAGAAAATATTTATAAGGTTTTTACAGTATTTAATTATGTTCCATCTTCCATGTAATTTTTTTAAAACATTTCAGTACTAATAACTTTGACATTGACACTTTTGACCACAGAATAATCAGTGATCATTCCACTTGGTAAACAAGAATAACATATGTGTGGCTTATCATACAATGTTATTTAATATTAAAACCCCACAAATTAATTGGAGGATGTTTTGCTCTTCCAGGATCCCCATAGTAATAATTCTTTAAATGATTTAGCTAGTTATTTACAGGACAGACTCTCTTATCATATGTTAACACTTGAAAATTCTAATTAACTTTTCTATTAAAGAAAACTCTTCAGAATTCCTTTATATGCATGACAAATTTAATCCTGTAATTTTGTAATTTCTCCCTCACATAGGTCTCATCATCAGACATACTTTTATAAAATACTAACATCTTTAGTGAAATTAAATCTGGACAGAGTGTTTTACTACGTTACTAAAAATTTTAAATATCATTGTACTGTGCCTCAGCATGTTACTGTAATTCAGGTACCAATTAAAAGCAATACTTCAGTTAAATGTTAATAAGACCTGGTGAACTGGTATTTAATAAATGCTCTTTCCACATGAGAGGATATTCAATATAGTTTAGGTATCTAAAAATACCTGAAACTGAATTCCAGCATGATCAGAAAAATATTTTTGTAAGGCTTGGTACTGTTACAGTTTATAAAATAGAAATTACAATACTCCCACACTTCTCAAAACTGTTACTAGTAACAATTAGCACATCTACAATACATTGAAAAAGCTTTGCATTACCCTAAAGTAAATGCACATAAAATACCTGGCCAAATCCTGGTCTCCTCATTGATAAGAAGGGATAGAACGATTACAGAAACAATTAAAAATAGAAGGTCAGATAGTCTATCCTCTGAAGGATAAATCTAAGTGGGAATTCATGATGAAAATCTGCAAATCCTGAAACAACTGTATTTTTTTTCAAAGTTTTTCAATTAGTAATAATAATAATGAGCTAAAATCAGCAAAGAAAAAGAAAGATAAACGTTGGTTTTAGGGTATTCAAACCAAACAAATTCTTGATAGCACTCTTACGGTGAGTAATGAAAAGTTACAACATATAAAAATATTAAATATTTTGCCATTAAATACATTGCAAGAAATATAATTCTAAGGAATCCTAATTTTGCTCTTCTTTCAGTTTTTTATTAAATACATTTTGTACTAAACTTTTATCACCTCTGCTTCTGTGCTGATTGGTGTCTTAAATTTGTAACTCATTTGAACTAATGATAATACAAGGTACTTACTGAGAGGTGAGTTTATTTAAAAATAACAGCTAAATATTATTTTGCCTTTTCCAAAAATCTTTTCTAAATAGCAGACAATCCCTTACAGGTAATATATATATTTATACACATATACATCTCTGTATATAAAAGCTCACACACTCTAGAAGAATGCTAATGGATGATAAAAATCTTACTTAATACGCAGTGCCACCTGATTTGTAATCATACGTGGTTTAGGTAATATTCTACTCAGATTTTCTCTGTAGTAGTTTCTTCACTGTACTAACTCATTTTTTGAGTTATCTACAATAATCAATAAGCACTTAAAGGTCAAGATCCTACAGTACATCTTTTGTCATACTAGCACGCTAGTAGATTGTAAAACTTTGTAAGTCACCCATTTATCTATTTTCAATTATGTTCTTACTTTAAATTTGAGAACTCACTTATAAAGAGAACATAGTAGCCCATAAAACTTACATGTCTACACATGAATGGACAGACTATGTCTTAAAATTTACGATTTTAGTTTATCTTTTTCTTTTCTGCTGTCTAGCCCATCTCTTTCTGACTTCAGAACAGCAAATATATAACAAAGTAATTAAACTGTTAGCTTCAGTAATTTTAAAACCTCAGTAAGAGCTTGTTGAGGTTTACTTGATTCTCATCACCATTTACTCTCACCAAAAAACACATGATATTCTGTAATGTATACAAATTGCAAATGCAGAAGACTTACACTTGAAGCACAGTTTTAGGATCACCCACTTCTCCTCCATCACCAATTGTCAGTGTGTCATAGCCAATCTCCAGATCAAATTCTTCAAAATTTATCTGAATAACCTAAAATAAGTAAATACAGTTTAGAAATTAAGAAATGTACCTGAAAGACGAGGCTGTAAAAGAGCTTATCAGCAGTGCAAAGAAAAGGGATTTTCCAGTTAATAATTGCATGTAACTTTAGCATATTTTACAATAAATTATTGCAATTAAACCAACAGGTTTGATTAATGAAATATGAATTATAACAACTTTAAGGTATCGACACACTGCTGACCTTCTCAAAGCACCATCATTTCACTTATGTATGTAGTTGTTACATGTTTAATACAGCTCTGAATAATTGCATTACATTTTGATTAAGATATACTTAAAGGGCAACATAACTAATTGCACTTTGTGAAATACAATTGTCTTCAAATAACAACTGAATAATGGTACTTGACTGAGTAAACGCAATGAAGGTGAAGAATGTAATTTACTCCGGATATCTATAATGTGTCTCAAGTAGGATAAAGCTGGATGAAAGGTCAAAGTCATTTTCTTATTTCATGGACCTGGCTAAAACGCAGCTACCAGAAGCATGGACACCTTTTATATCCTGTAATTTAAACCACAGTATGCATATACAATAGAGACAACATGGAAAACTGTGTAGGCAAGTAGCTTTTTGGCTCTAATTGTGTGAGAAAAGCACAGAAAACCACACATAAATCTTCTTAATCTTCTTAGTGTAAAAAAAAAAAAAAATTCTAGATAGTTTGTGTTGTTCCAGCCACAAAATTTGCAAGCCTAGACATAAGAATTTAAACTGAAATCCAGAACTAGATTTAAGGTTGACAAACATTTAATTCACTATTAAAAAAATAAGAAGAAAAAGAAAAAAGTCTTAATTTTTAGTCCACAGTTAAATTATGTGCAATTAGATGTGCAGTTACATCTGTACTGGAAAAACACTCCACAATAAAACATGGGAGTTTCTGGGCAAATTATAACTGAATTCAACAAATCCAGGATGCTAAGGAAAAAAATGTGTAATTAGTTCATCCACCTAAATCCTAATCCTGTTTTCCATTAAACACAAGAAGAAATGTAATCTCACTATCATACATTTCTTGGTAAATGCAATAGTAATATTTTTTAATTAATATCCTTACAGATATTTCATATTAACTGAGTCACACCAAATTGATACCAAGCATGTCCTTTTGTAGTTGAAGTACTTGTCTTTACAAGTAGTGTCAGAAAGCTAAGCCAGCTTTTCTTTAGCACGATCAACAACATCCTATGCTACACGTACTTAACTGGAGAGGAGAGGATAGAGGTTAAGGAAAATAGAAGCTCCCTTACAAGTCTTTCAAGACACATTTTTTTTAATTAGGGCTGATCAGAAAAAAAATACATATCTTTATTCACATGACTAAGGCTTAAAATATTTTAGGTTACTGGCTGCTCTGATGTACTCTCTCCTTCTGTAATCTGAGCTTCTTTTCTGAGATAAAAAAAGCTTTTTTTAATTTTAAGGAAAATGGATGTACATGCAAAAAAAGTTTATTGTTTGGTTTTTCTACACTAACATTTTTAAGAGAATCATGTTGTATTAAAAGATTTCTAGCCCACTCTCTTTGAAACCCATTGTGATAATGCGATAGGTATGACTTTGAAAAGTGTACTTGTATGAAGCCACACAAGCATAGATTAGTCTTCATCTGTATTGTATCATATTCTGTGAAAGTCACATTTTTAAGACAAGAATTAGCAATGAAGTCATTAATAACTTTCTGAATTAAAGAATATATTAAAAATAAAACATTATATTATATTAATTATAGTAACTGGCTATTAAGATTTGGAATGTTAATGTGAAAATCTTATTCTTGAAGTTGTTATTACAGTGATTTCTTCTTAACAGTTTGTGGATCAACTGCAAACCAGAAAATACTGCAACTTTGTATAAAACTGCCAGTAGTAAAACAAAGCCAGAAACAGTAACCATCAAATCAGATCATATTTTACATATAGGAAAAAGTCAAATATTGCCCAAGCCAGTAAACTGTTTTGCATATCATGCATACCTCTGCCAGAAGAGGGTTAGAAACAGGTACCAGTAACTGCTACAAACCTGTTATAGTACAGATGAAATACATCACAACTCCCAATCATTAAAGGGCAAGCAAGCAACTGTATGTAACCTACACTAAACAACACAGTTTAACTTAGGTTTAAAACATACTACACCTGAGCTGATTTACAGTTCAGACTTTGGATTTGGCAAAGTAAACTTGACATTTATTTGGCACATATGCTTGACAATTGACACAAAGATATTTAATCTTAAGGGAATGTACACAAATGGAGCAAGAGTCACGTATAGCAACAGCAGAGCTGTCAATATCCAACATTCAAGAGGGCGTAAACTCACTACTACACATGTAGTCCACAAGTATTTATGTGTTGTAACTGTGAAAAACAACTATGTATACTTTTTAGAAATTCATCCTCTGCTGTTTATCTTTGACATGCAATTACACATTCAAAACAAAATATGCTGAGCTGTGCACTATTTATTCATTAAAATAAATATGAAAGTAGATTAAAGGAAGGCAATAGCATCTCTACATCCTGGTCTGCTTTTGCTGTTTATAAGCCCAGAAGCAATAAACAACTTATAATTGCTTAATTAAATTAAATTTATAAACCCAGAAGCAAATGAACAAACAAAACTGGACAGTAATAGTAGTTATTATTATCATCCCAACTATACAGAAAAAAATAGATCCTATTTGAAAAACAACTTTCTGAAAAGTATGATGGTGCACCTTGGTCTCTAATAATTTTGCAAGCACTTTTCCAAAGAAAGAAACGGGAGCAGGTATCTCATTTCTGAAAAAAATTTCATTGACATACCTCCATTCTGTGCCTTGGAATACATCCTTTGTAACCCACACCTTGGGCAAAACTGAGTCTGTTACCCAGCTCAGAAGTAACATGGGAGAATACTACTGAAAAGTTAATGGCTAGCTGGAGAACTTCCTACAACTCTTCAGAGAGAGAACATACTTAGGAGGATGTGTTCCAAACAGCAATCTTTCCAGACAATTGCTCAATGTGACTGTGTGTCTAGCTCCTGACGGAACTAGCTCCCCAATGATTTTTCAAATAAAGTAGTGTTCAAGGTAAAGCACTCAACTTTTTAAAATTTCGAAACATACAAAGCCGGATGGTGTATAACAGAAGCAAGTATACGTGCTTCAGAACTGCTTCTGAAGGGAAAGTGTAAAGATTTAAAGTTGTATATATTTCCATATGTACATCTGTTATCCTAAAGCTTCCAATGTAAATGTACCTCTAAAATATTTTTGGATGCATAGTAATGTTTTCACTCCATAAAAGTTGACATTTTACCAGTAAAATAATGATGAAGAAGTTTATAAAGATGTTATGAATCTTTTCTCCTCAGAAAAGTACTTAGAAATTAAGCTAAGATATAGTTTAAACGAGCAATATCTTACATAATATTAAGGAAAAAAAATGAATCAAAACAACCTGACAAGGTTACACACTATTTTGCTGCACATTGAATGTAATTCAATGACTCAAAATATCCAAGAATTGCTAGCAACTGTGTAGCTTAACAATAGTTTAATTGGCTCTACGGTAGTCACCTATTACATGAACGCAACGCAAAATGGAATGGCCTAAATATTAAGTACTTCTGTCCTTTCAAATTTAATTTAACCTTAGCATATCAGAGGGGATAATAAAAGGGGGAGAAGGGGAAGAAAAGAAGAAAACTTGGAGATTTATAGACCATTATGGAACAGGAAAAAAAAATAAAGAAAAAAAAAAAACACAGGTGACACACAAAGCTGTACGACAATTCCAGGAGATACTCACTAGCTGAACTGGAAAGTTCCTTCTACATTGTTGAGTCCATTTGTTGGCAACAGAATTCATTATACTGAACTGTAGACATCTACAGTTCAAACATCTATATTTGATGTAGGCTTCTTCATAACCAGTGAAAAAACATGTCTAGAGTGTAATCTATTTAATCAAAAAGTAGATAACACAAACTAGATCAACCACAGCTTAGAAGTACTTATTTCTCTTCCTTGACTATAAAGTGACACTAGGCATTTATATATGGATGTCTACACCATGGACATCTAAAATGGAATGGACTCTCATAAAAATATTTAAGTAGCACCACCTGAGATGCTGTAAAACAACTGAAAAATACACACAAACCTGGCAGGTAGAGGATCTTAAGGAGAACTGTGCTCTTTTGGGAAGGCAGCTGAAGACCAGATGGGGTCATCCTGTTGTATTATATGTCAGTGGTTGGCAGTAATCTCAGTCCTACAGATAGCAGATGAATTCTGCTTTGCAGTCTTTGTAACCACATCATATAATTTCCTTCACACAGTTTTTTAAAAGGGGGCTTTCGTTTTGTTCTGGTTTGTTTTTTTTAACTCCAATACTAATGCTAAATGTCATTTAATTTTTCCATAGAGGCTAATACTGCAATCAGTTATTTGTAAAGTTCAATTAAAATTATCTACTTTGGGGTCACAATAATTGAAAACAAATATGTAGTACTTCCCTATCCTGATAACAAATACAATTGGAAAGTCTTAAAATAGGAGGATAGTACATTAAGATAACAGCATGAAGATATTATATTTTTATTTTTCATGCTACAGTTTTCTTTTTACATAGTAATACGACCTGCACTGTGTTGGCTTGCGTTCACAAGACGTTTTTTGAGACCGATTGATCAGAGGAGTACAATCTCAACATTTAATCAACCTATGCAGCCCCAATAAAAAGCATTATACCAAAAAAAATATTATCTTGTAAATAAGACCTTCTACAAAGAAACAAAAATAATTACACAATTTAATTGAATTATCAATATAGCATCCACAAAGGGAAATAAAGGAGTGCAAATAAATCGTTAAGCAAACACATTGGCTTCTACTTAAGTTGGTGTGTTTACCACATTCCAAACAATACTAATTATTATATAACTTTTATCTTGTGAAACACAATATTGTGTA